TTTGATATTTGTTATAAGTTGTGAAACAATCATTTCCCAAAATCTTATATAAATAAAATGTAACTAAAACTATATATAAAAAAGTTGACGAGAAATAGTAATTGAGTTGGCGGCAAATAATATGTCTCATTCTTTATAGATCAAATTGGATTTATGTAATATCACTTTTGGGGAAAACATTCATTCCCAATTTCTTAGTTTAGATCTAACCTAAACACATGATAATGAATACCCAAAAGAAAATGGAATACGATTCTAATGCGTTTTCTCCTTTTCTTTATTATGAGACAAAGAGAAATGTGAAAACACCAATATGAAATTTGGTGGGTTAATTGCATGGTTGGTCACTGAGATTACAAAAAACGGTCAAGTTTTGGTCACTCGAAATATTTAAATCCATCGGTGGTACTTCAGTTTACTGAAACCGTTCACGTTTGGTCACTCTCCGTCCAACTTCGTTAACTTTTGCTTACGTGGCGGTCAACTCTAAAAGTTGACCGTTAAATAGATATAAAAAAAACAACCATTATTGTCAAAATTTCAAAAATTATTTTATCAATATAATTGTTAAAATAATTGTAGTGTAGCAGCAGCCAGCTTCTTATAAATAAATGGATATTATTAATATCGTTCACCGACCGGTGTCGATGCACGTGTTTCTGTCATCTGACTCTGAACGATATGGGTGCCCGCAAGTCAAGATATATAAATATTAAATAGCGACCCTGCCTTCGTAATCGTACCCACCACCCCGTCACTAATAATACATCATTCCCCACCAACTCCAAGAGCAGTTGGGCTACCCCGTTGTTTTTTTTTTCTACTGAATTATTATTGACTAATCTCTAGGGGTCAGAATATTCTATCTCAATATATTTTTTCAACTTATTACCATCATGTCAATTTACCACTATTAGATGGCTATAATATACATTAATCAGAAGATCATTAGGGGCTTTTTTTTTTCCTTCCTTGAAACAATCCTTGATGCTATATGATGATAAAAGTGATTTACTCTCGAGATTAATTACCATCAAATTCTTGTAGTGTTTTAACATTTAAACACACTGTGCATTTTATTTCCATCCGTATAAATTTTAAATTCACGAATTTGATACAATCAGTTGTCTATAAGAATATAATTGATCTCTGCTGATGGCTGGTATTCATTTACCAATTTGTAGGACAGTCAATCAGTCACTGTTATCGACGATGTATGAAAGTGTCAAAACACTCGTAATTTAAGATTCAAAAGGTATATATATTAATTCAACAATTTAGTGAAGTAATTATAGTTAGGATTGTGCAGTTGGGAAAAAGGGGAAACCCGTACAACAATATGAGCGACATGAATGACACTTTTATCAGTGGATCGATTAGCTGTCGACCGACGCATTTGAATCCTTTATTTTTATAAAGATATTTGTTGTACTGCAAATGACAACAACAAAAAAGAGGATAGATGCTCATCTGATACACTACCGACGGAATCATCACATGCATTCTCGGTGTTGTACATTATTCAAACCCCAAAACGCTTTACAGACAGTATAATATATATTAATTAGCCCAGATAATAAATCATATATAATTGATTGACAAACATGGAGACTGGATTACAACAACAACACCTCATAACGAAGATACCCAAGCTTAATTAATGAAATACAATCTCCATTGATAAAACGACATCACGGTGACTTTTATCGTAAACGAAATACCACGGGAACTCTCCGACTACCTAAACGTAGCGTTTTAGGTATTCCTCGACGGTGGTGTAGCGAACCTCCGGGTACAGCTTGGTGGCCTCCTGGTCGTCGTCAACCTCGAAACTCGCGAGGCAACCCTCGTAGCACACGTGATAGTAGTGCGTCAGTCCAACTTGTTCCGCGTAGTTTTGCTCTGTCAACCAAACCACACACAGAACAAAACAACAAAAGCCTTCAATATAACTATATAATAATTACAAGTGAAATTACTAATAATTCAAAGGAAGCAAAATTGAAAAAAAAGCAGACAGTCTGACGACCTTTCATAACAGCCAGAAACTCTTGCTCGGAGAGAACGGTCTTCTGGAGCTCTTTGCCAATATACTTCTCCCAGATCTGAACCACTTCTCTTTGGGACAGCACGTTCTTTGGTGGCTTCACGTAGATCGTCTTGTTGAGGGTTCGAGGGTCGTCGATGGCCTTCAACGTGTACGCGGCTATGTCGTCCTCGTCCACGTAGATCCCTACGTGGCAAATAAATATAATATTTAGTGACTCAAGCTTCTTTTTTTTTTTTCCGTGTAAGGTACGTAGTAATGGTGGGTAGGTTAGCGTAGGGACGTAGCCCGTAGGGTATTACCCTTTTGGTTTCCATCTCCAAGCAAGGTGACGCGTTCTCTAGAAGGAAGAATGAAGCCAGGCTGGCAGAGTCCGCCGAGGAAGTAACCGGCGAAGCAGTTGGCGGCGACGTAAGTGAACGGGATCCCGGCTTCCTCTATCGCCCTCCTCACCACCATCTTGTCGTCGAACGTGATCCTTCCGGGCTCCATCGCCTCCTCCATCCTCGCCGGATCTGTTCCGAACTCCGACGGCACGAATCTCTGCATACAACATGTTATGAACCAGTTGATCCCAATAACTCGAGTTGAAATAGGCTACCGTTGCTTTACCGGTCAACACAAGTACTAATTAAGGGCAAAAACTTTTTTAGAGTGTTTATGATATATGGTATCAGAATTGATTTATTCTTCATATATTCAAATCTTCAAAAGTCTTAATATTCCGGTCGATATATAATATCGCGGTTAAGTATCATGCGCTCTCAATAATTTTGTTGGGAGCAGTTGGTTTACGACACGAAGTCTGACACCACGTGATGATGAGAAAATTAGTGTGTGTGTGTCGGCAAGGGGAAAATATTTCGATGATATTTACCTTGACGTTGCCGGCTTCTTTGATGGCTTGGACGAGCTTGAGCTGGAGGAGGATCTGGTGGCTGCGGATGTGGACGCCGGAGATGGCGCAGATGACGACGTCGGCGAGGCTGACGGCGTCGACGAGGCTCTGGTAGTCGTCGAAGGAGGCGGAGACGAGGTGGGCGCCCTGCATCTTGAAGGAGAGGAGGAGCTGGATTTTCTCGATGTCGACGCCGATCTCCGGCCGGTGCATGACGTAGGTGTCGTGGCCGGAGTTCAAGCTGGCCTGCACCAGCCTCTTGCCCAAGTAGCCGGTTCCTCCGATCACCAGCACTTTGTTCGCCTTCCCCATTGAGCCCATTTTGATGAATGAATGAATGAATGAATGAATGGGCTTGATATTTAGCTTTGCTTACTTTTCTCTCTGGTATAGTTCTGAGACCAAGTGGTGGCTTGACTCCCAAGTATATATAGAGAGAGATACTGCAGACTTAAGTCGCGGGGTTACTGCTGAAATTATATAATATGACACACTAATATTGAATGTAATGCAACCAAGACTTTAATCAACTTGTTACTTTTGCGTCAAACAAGTTGTGCGGTGCCTTCCTCCACATGTTCCATCTATCCTTTCGAAATAATAGGTATGGAGACAAAAATTATTCAAATGTTGTCTATCGGCGATTGACAATTTTGGTGAAAATGATATTGTGTGACATTCAATTTGGGAATCTTGTGGCGGATGGACCACGTGTTTGTGGTTCGTTTTTCTCATTGGGTCGGGTAAATTCGGGAATCGATCTGCTGGTTGACAACTTTGGTAATGACATTGTTGACACAGATTTATATATAATCATGCAATGTGATTTTAAATTAGATTTACTATATATATTGGGTATTCAGAAGAATATGAATACTAAATTTTAATACGGTTTTTACGTTTTTTCCTTTGTTATGAAACAAACATAAATTAAATGTGAAAACGTCAATATTAAATATGTGAATTGGGTTAAAAGGAAGCTAATAAGATGATCAATATTATTTTTATGTCTATAATAATCTAGATTCAAATAAAATAGTCTGGCTCAAATTGAACTCATTTCAAACTTAACTCAAATAGAAAATTATAAACATACATATGCTTGAATTCGATCAAATATTCATGTAAATCATAATAATTAACTCAAATTATCTAAATAATCCAATCCATTATGATTCCTAGACAAAGCATCAGAGGCTTATGCACAAAATTTAGGTACATCACAAGAAACATGTTGCTTTTCTTTAAAATTAAGATATACATATATGTTTGATTGATTTTCTTTACAAGGTTTTCCCAATATATGTTTGATTGAAGATAAGGTTGTTGGGGATATTATTTTTATTTGTTTTTTTCTGCTAAAGAGATCAGGGGTATGGAAGCTCGCTGGCACCAGCAAAAGATTGTTATTATTATATTGCTGCACAATAATTCATAGACTTAGACGAAAGAAAACTTCGATTAATGTATATAATACAAACAGGAAATATTTTGTGGGTTCAAATTGGATTTGGGGCTTAATTGCAAGTTTGGTCACCCGAATTGCTTAAAAATTTCACGTTTGCCACTCGAATTGATTTATTCCATTTATAGTTATTCGAATTAGTTGAACAGTCCAAGTTCGGTCACTCTCCGTTAACCTCCGTTAGACTCCGTTAATGACGACAGTTAAGTGATGACGTGGCTAACAGAAAGACACAGTCAGCACATTTAAACATTAAAAATCGACGACCCGACCCGACCCGACCCGACCCGCCAGCTCAGCCTTACCTGCCCAGTCACCCATTCTTGCCCAACCCGCGAACCAACCCAATTAATTGACCCTAAACCCAAACCCGAGATCCAACCCCCCTGAAAAGTAAATAGCAGATGGATTAGGGTTCAATTTCTCGAGTCTCATTCAGTTCCCTCATTCCTTCCTTCGTCCTCCCGTGAATTGAGCAGTCGAAATCCGTCAAATCGGCCACCAATAAATGGCGGCGGAGGGTAGGGAGAGCGAAAGCCACTACAACAGCGGCGCCAACCGCGACGGCGACCTTCCCGTCGGGAAACAGCATGATTCGGTTCCCTCGCCATCTTCAAATCCCCACCAGTCGTCGTCTTCTGCGATTAACCACCCAATCCAGCGACAGGCTTTTCCTTCGTACTCCAATGTCCCGAATCTCCCCTCGAAACTCAAACTCCTCTGCGGGATCATCGCCACAACCCCGTCGCCTTCCATAGAGAAAGTCCTCGACGGCTCCGGCATCGGCGTCACCCAGGCCGAGGTTGAGCAAGTTCTCAAGCTCTCCTACTCTTTCCCGGCCCCTACTGTCAAGTTCTTCAGGTGGAGCGGGTTGCGGCTCGACGGCGATCATTCCCCTTACGCTTGGAACCTCGTGGTCGACCTTCTGGGTAAGAATTGCTTGTTCGACGCAATGTGGGATGCTATCAAGTCCATGAGACGGAAAGGATGAGAGGATGAAGATGGAGGAAGGGAAATGCCCTAATCCATCTGCCATTTACTTTTCAGGGGGGTTGGGTCTCGGGTTTGGGTTTAGGGTCAATTAATTGGGTTGGTTCACGGGTTGGGCAAGAATGGCTGACTGGGCGGGTAAGGCTGAGCTGGCGGGTCGGGTCGTCGTTTTTTAATGTTTAAATGTGCTGACTGTGTCTTTCTGTTAGCCACGTCATCACTTAACGGTCGTCATTAAAGGAGTCTAACGGAGGTTAACGGAGAGTGACCAAACTTGGACTGTTCAATTAATTCGAGTGACTATAAAGAATAAATCAATTCGGGTGGCAAACGTGAAATTTTTAAACAATTCGGGTGACCAAACTTGCAATTAAGCCTTGCATTTGGTTTTCAGTGTGGCGTGTGCGAGTTATGAGTGATGTAATGCAGAGGGTCCAGAATACTAATTAGTGATCAGATCAAGATGTGCTGACGGTAGTAAATATCGAATACTAATTAGTGATTGAATAATATATGCGTCTAAGTTTTGGTTACCTAATTTAGCTACCTAATTAGTGTTCTTTATTGTACTCTTTTTTTTTTTACTTGCTAGTAGAATTTCAATTTTCTGAATGGCGAGGAAGAGAGAAAGTTTATCTCTCTGCGATCCGCCGCCCTCCTCCGCCTCCTCCTCCTCGCCGCACTACTGACAACCGTCGTCGTCGCTCAAAACACCACCACCGCAGCAGCTACCTGCCCGCTCGACTTCACCGGCCTCCGCCGCCTATACGACCCCTCGAATTCCCCTGCGATCGACAGCTCCCAGACCTGCCAGTACATCCGCCAGGGCCTCCGCCTCATCCAGTCTGACTACCTCCGTCGCACCTCCCGATTCCTCCCTCCTCTCAGCTCCGCCGACTCCTGCTGGCGATCCTACCAGCAGCTCATCAACGATTCCCTCCCCAACTTCGACATCCGCCGCTCCTGCGGCTTCCAGACCAGCTGGATCTCGCAGGGATGCATGAATATCACCACCAGCTCCTGCATGTCTGCCGTCTGAGATTCCGATTCCTCGCCGTCCTCCTCCCTCAGCCGGATCCCAATCTCATCAGAGCCTTCACCAACACCTCCCTTCCAGCATCAGATTAGCTGAGTTATCAGGGGGTTTTCCCTTTTGGATATAACTCCAAATTTCGGGATAAGCCAGGTTGTCAATCTTTCATTTTTCGGTGTGACACAGATTTGGAGGGTCTCTATTGGATTTGCTGTTTGTGGGTGTCCTCTGCTTCCGTTTTTGCAGGTTTCTTCACATTGCTCTCTTCCCCTGCTACTTTTCTTCCCCGTTGGCTTACGCCGTCGACATCGAGACTGGTGGTCACGTACGAGGTTTTCGTTGCTCGGCGACATGCTCGACCTCCTCATCCTTATCCGGCAAAAAGTAGTGGCGGTGGGATGGATATGTCTGTCTGACTTTTTGTTTTAGCGGAGGTGGAGTGATGACTCGTGGATATCAGGGGACAATTCAAAAGAATTGGTCCTCCCGCTCTCTGAACAGAAGAAGAAGACGAACAGAAGCTGGAGCGACGTCGTATCAGGCACGACTTGAAGACCAGTCCGGAACGACAGCGTCTCGGAGCAGACTGAAGAAAAGACCAGAACGACAGCGTCTTGAACCACTTTGTCAAATTTCGTTTTAAGTCCACATGTTATGTTTTTAAACACTTTTCCTCTTTTGCATTGTACTTGCTACTGACGCAAGCTTGTCTTGTTCTACAAACATTGACACAGCTATATAAGCTGCCAAACCTAATGAGAACAACTAAGGTTTTCAGTTTTCACAATCACAAAGTTGTTGTTATGGTATCAGAGCTTTGGTGCTGGAAACCCTAGCCGCCTCCAGCTTCCATGGCTCAACAAGAAGATGCAGCTGCAGGAGCTTCAACTGCAGCCAGTCTTGACCCCATGGCAGATCCTTTCTACCTCCATGGATCTGAACAACCAGGGCTCATTCTTGTTGCAGAGAAGCTCACCCCCACTAACTACAACGACTGGAGTAAAGCAATGTACAACGCCCTTGGAGCCAAAAACAAACTTGGCTTCATCAATGGCACACTTGCTGAACCAGAAGCAACTCACCCTACAGCCTAGGCTTGGGCACGCAACAACATCATGGTGCTGTCCTGGATCCAGCAAGCTGTTGACCCTGCCATCAGAAAGACTATCATGTCCATTCGCAAGGCCTCTGAAGCTTGGACAAGTCTCAGAGCTCGTTATGGCCAAGGAGACATGATCAGGGTTGCTGAGCTCATTGAGGCACAAGCCACACTCAAACAAGGTACCAGATCTGTTACTGAATACTATGGTGACTTAATAGCTCAGCGTGATGAACTGGACAACTACCAACCCCTAGATCCATGTGTTTGCACCCCCACTAGTCACAATCAGTGCAGGGCAATGCAACAAGTAATGGGCTACAGAGATACTAATTATGTCATTCAGTTCCTAAGGGGTCTTAATGACAACTACAGCAGTGTGAGGTCTCAGGTTCTGTTTGGAGACACCCTACCCTCCATTGACAGAGTTTTCTAAAGGGTTCTTCAACATGAGCGCCAGCTATATGGCACCTCCAACAGCAAAACTAATACCACTGAATCTATGGCCTTGGCATCCACAAACATACCTGGCAGCAAGAAACCTAAACCTTTCTGCACCTACTGCAAAGCTCAAGGTCATACAGAGGATATATGTTTTCACAAACATGGTTGGCCCCAAGGAATGAACTCCAAAGGAACCACACCATCTGGAAAATCCCTCGAATGTACCTTCTGCAAGAAGCTTGGTCACACTGAAGACAAGTGCTTCTCCAAACATGGATACCCACCAAGCTCTACTGGAGCAAGTCGAGGAAACAACAACAGGTCTAGGCCTACTGCTAATGCTATCTCAACCACTGATGCAACACAAGAAGAAGTCAAACTCACCAAGGCAGACTATGATCGACTGATGAAACTTATGGCATCAACTTCTCAGTCTTCTACAAGTTCTGGTTTTTCAGGTGCAACATTTTGTTCCAATCCACCTCAGTCTTCAGGTAAATACTCTCTAAGCAATCAAGTTGCCTCCCCTTACAATGAGACCTGGATACTGGACACAGGGGCATCAGACCACATAGTTTGTTCCCTCACTTACTTAACCAATCCCAGATCTATAAATGCTGTTCATATCACCCTCCCAACTGGCCAACAAGTTCAGGCCACACATGTTGGGACAGTTCACCACATTGCTGGTCTACTTCTTGAGGAAGTCTTGTTTGTCCCTCAGTTCAGTTTCAATCTTGTGTCAGTGAGCAAACTGACCAAGAACAAGTCCCTATGTTTAACATTTTTCTCTGATGTATGTTTGATTCAGGACATGCAGTTGAGGAAGATGACTGGTTCTGCTAAACTTTTTCATGGCCTCTACCTTATTGACATACCACCTATAGATAGTAAACCAAACCACATCACAGCAGCCACAACACAGAGTTTTGATCTTTGGCACTACAGATTAGGCCATGTTTCCCATTCCAAAGTTCCTATTTTGCAAAAACTCTGTACATCTATAGAAACTTATAGATCATTACCATGTGATGTCTGCCATTTTGCAAAGCAAAAGAGGCTCCCTTTTCCTACTAGTTCAACTGTTTCTATCAAACCATTTCAGTTGATACATGTTGATATTTGGGGTCCAAATTCTGTTCCTAGTCATGATGGATTCAAATACTTCCTAACTATAGTTGATGATTACACCAGAATGACATGGATCATTCTTCTAACTGCCAAGTCAGAAGCCAGACCCAAACTACAAAGCTTCTGCACCTACACTGAAAGACAGTTTGAGACACCAGTTAGGAAGATAAGGAGTGACCACGGTAGGGAGTTTCAAATGACAGAATTCTTCCACCAAACTGGCATTTTTCATGAACAGTATTGTGTGGAAACCCCTCAACAAAACAGCAAAGTTGAGAGGAAACATCAGCACATCTTAGCCATTGCCAGAGCCTTAATGTTTCAATCACACCTACCTACTGATTTCTGGGGGGATTGTGTAAAACATGCTGTTTATCTAATCAATAGGGTCCCTACCACAGTGCTCAACAATCTGACTCCCTATGAGAAACTACACAACAAACCCCCTGATCTCACAGAACTTAGAGTTTTTGGTTGCTTGTGTTTTGCAAGCACACTCACCAACCATAGAACCAAATTTGATTCTAGAGCAAGAAAAGGTGTGTTTATTGGCTTCACCACAGGCATCAAAGGTTATAGGATATATGACTTAACCACACATGAAGTTTTTACTTCTCGTGATGTTCAATTCCATGAACAACACTTTCCTTTCCAACCCTCCCCCACATCAGTGCCTACAAACAACACTACCCCTTTTCCCACCACCTGCCAACCCTCTCTTTTTGATGACCTTCCCCCCTCCCTGCAACATTCTACCACTCCCCACAATGCTCCCCATCCCACCTCTCCTTCTGATTCTGACTCAGATTCAGAAACCAATACACCCCACCATTCCCCACAACCCTCTCCTGCCCCATCTCCCCCTCCCCCTCCTCCTCCACCCCCACCTCAACCTACCAGAAAATCTACCCGTGTTGTTAAACCCCCATCCAAACTGCAATCCTATCACTGTAACCTATTACAACAGCAGGCTTTCCCCAGTCATTCTTCCCCACTGCATACTCCAGGTATCTCTCATCCTCTGAGTAATGTTATTCACTATGATTCTCTAGAACCATCTCACAGAAGATTTGTTCTTAGTATCTCATCCTACAGAGAACCAGCTACTTACAAAGAAGCTGTCTTATCTCCTGAATGGAATGCTGCCATGGAGAATGAAAAACAGGCTCTAGAGAAGAACCATACATGGGACATAGTTGAAAAACCAGAGGGTGTCAAACTTGTTGGAAACAAGTGGATTTACAAACTGAAGTTCCTATCTACTGGCATCATTGAAAGGCACAAGGCTCGCCTTGTTGCCAAAGGATACACCCAACAAGAGGGTGTAGACTATCAGGATACCTTTGCTCCTGTAGTCAAAATGACAACTATTCGATTGTTCTTAGCAATTGCAGCTTCACAGAGATGGCACATCCATCAACTTGACATAAACAATGCTTTCCTACATGGAGAGTTAGAAGAAGATGTCTACATGAAACTCTCTGATGGTTATAAAGCCCCTACTGGTTTCATCAACCCTGTTTGCAAGCTCAGGAAATCACTCTATGGTTTAAAACAAGCATCCCGCCAGTGGTTTGCTAAACTGGCAGAGAAACTCAAATTACAAGGTTACATCTCTAGCCAGGTCGATCACAGTCTATTCTACAAAGCCACACCTACTTCCTACACCTGTGTTCTGGTTTATGTTGATGATCTTGTAGTGGGTGGCACTGACCTCAACGAAATCACACAATTGAAGACATTCCTACATCAACAATTCAGCATCAAAGACATGGGGGAACTACATTTTTTCCTTGGTATTGAGGTTGCAAGAACTGACTCTGGAATTCACATTTCTCAGAGAAAGTATACATTAGAGATCATTGAAGATGCCGACCTGCTTCACACCAAGCCAGTCAGCACTCCAATGGACTACAAATCGCACCTATCAGCCTCTAATGATGAACCCTACCCCAATCCAGAACATTACAGACACCTCGTTGGCAAGCTGATTTACCTCACTACAACAAGACCCGACATCAGCTATGCCACACAACAAGTAAGCCAATTCATGTCCCAGCCTACTGTTTCTCACTACAAGGCAGTTACAAGGATTCTTCGTTACCTGAAGCATGCCCCATCTACTGGCCTTCTGTTTTCTTCATCATCTTCCCTTCAACTGCAAGCCTTCAGTGACTCCGACTGGGCTGCCTGTGTCGACTCCCGACGCTCCATCACTGTATCTTGGCTCTTCCCTTGTCTCCTGGAAGAGCAAGAAACAAACAACCGTCTCTCGCTCTTCCTGTGAAGCTGAGTACCGAGCTCTCGCTTACACCTCCTGTGAGGTCCAATG